AACCTGAGCTGAGAGCTGGAGTGCTTCACAGAGGGGTGTGGAAAATTGTGCTAGTGGAAGGATAAGCTGATGATCGAAAATTAAATGTTAAACATGAAAAAATCGACCGAAAGTAGTTATGTGTCAGAATGAGACGAAGGAGATTCAAATAAGTGGAGCTTGATAAAATATAGATAACTGCCATTAACGATCACCAAGCATGGGAACGGTACAACTACGAACTATTTGTACATCTGATCTGACTACTTAAGTGGAAGACAGTATGTAACGCCCAACTTCCTGTATGAGGTTTTTTGAATGAAGAAGCAATTTTGATGCTTGGACATAGGATGGAGATGGCGTAACTGCGTTTCGGTGAAAACGGCTGGCGTCCTCCCTTCGCTCTACCTCCGACCCCCTCCCCACAACTTTCCGTAACGCTCGCACCGCACGCTCTCTCCCTATCTCTCAACGTCGGCACCTCCCTCGGCCCTCCTCTGCAGTTTTCCACAGCGCTGCGTTCCTCACCGGTTATTTAACGGACACGTCAGTGTCGCCTCTCCATCTAGACAGGTCACTCTCTTGTAGTACCTCGTCGCGTCAGGGAAAATAACTGCTATTACTACTGGTTTTAAATTTAAAGATAAGTAGAAGATATTATTGTAAGTGGTTTTTTAAAGAGAGTTAACGATTTTAGCCCCTGTTTTCGGTTAAATCTCCTTAAATACGGGTCTATTGACTCAGAACTACCAGTTGCCATTTCCTTTTTGGTTTCTGCTAGTCTGTGCCTTGCACTCAGGCCACTTGACGCATTCGCCTACCCCTAAGTTAGCAGCAGCAGCAGCAGCAACAGTCCCATTTGTCCTTCCTATTCCTTCAGATAGCCCCTTTCCCCAGGACGCATGAAAATCCGTTTAAATCAGCTAGGCCAATAACTTCCCCGTTTCAACAGTGTGCTGCAAGCTTTACAGATAAGTCACCTGTGACAAGGCGTCAGAACGGTTAGACTCCAGAACTGAATCAGACTCCGGCCTAAAAGAAAGGTAGTACAGTTTCATTTAGGGGTACGCCGCCTGTCTTAGATCTAATAACCCTCACAGTCCTGCTCATCTACAAGCACCGCAACTCCAATTATACCCTGACAATGGCTGTAACCTGGCATTAAATACAAATATTATTACCATTACCATTATTATTATTAGTAAATATTTTCTGTCCTGCGTACCGGTTACTTACCAAAGCCCTACTATATAGCCAGCGAATAATTCATACGTCAATTGCCCTAAGTCATTTATCCCTAACCTAGTTCAGGCTTCCCACCACTTACGGCCAACTGCTCTCAGGTAAGTCAACCTACCGTTGACTTCCAACATAGACCTGGTTTCCCACCCTTTTATTCTTATAGTTGCCTACCCTCCCCCACCAGCCTCTACTTTCCCTCTAGGCTCCCTCTTCCTCCCCCTCCTCCACAATTTAACTACCAACAAACCTATCCCTGTTCTAACACCCCTAGCATTCTAATGCTCGAAAACTATATCCCCCATCCTTTAGCTCTCATGCCCAGACTTCCCTTGTTGACTCCCTGTACTCAATATCCCTAGACAAACTGGTATTTATTCTCCAAGCATCATTAATTCACAGCTTACATATCCGCCTCCGAATTTTTTAAATACCGTCGACAATAGCCTTGCTGTTCGATATACACTAGATACTATATTATTGAATGCCAGGTCTGTTATAAACAAGATGACTCAAATCAGAGCCATCGCTCTCGAAATGACGCCTGATGTTATATGTATAACAGAAACTTCAACTCATAATCTAAGTTCTGATACTGGTCTTCTTATAGGTGACTTCGATTTTTGCCGTCAAGTCCGCAGGACAAGGCGGGGGATTCTTTATCTTAGATGCTACCTAAAGCATCTTCCCTATTACCTGGATTTTTCCTCATTCACGGAAACATCTGTTATTCTCTCGCTGCAAAAAAATAATTATTGGCTGTATCTACAATCCCCCAAATTCTTCATCCAGAGATGATTCACAACTCTGTGAAATGTCTAAATTAATTTCGGAAGCTGCATTCGATGTTAAAATAATCACTGGGGATTTAAACCATCCTGAAATAGACTAGGTTACCAATATTTGTCCACCCTTTCAACGGATTGACAATTTATCTATCTGGTCCCAACTGGTACGCTCTCCAACATGAGATAATCACATTTTAGATCTTATATTTACCAATGACATTGCTCCTTTTTTGTTTCTTTCAAAAAGGTCCTCCTTTGACAGTGACTGCGTAATAATTCATTGTTGCTTACCGTTTGCCTTTTTAAAAAAGGCCAGCACCGTTCGGACTTACCTAAATAGATAACGACTTAGTAAATAACTATATCAGGTCATTGGATTGGTGTGGTTTTCTCTCTTGTAGCGCTGCAACCATTGTTTGTGATGTCATGTCCAATGTTTCCAAGGAGATCCTAGTGTTTGTGCTGCGTAGATATCTCAAGCCTAATTGTTCAGATTCCCTTGTTCCTTACTTTCTTCCCAACAAACTAAAAAATTGAGAAGTCAGCTGCGTGACCTGTTTATTAATTCTTTAACCGTTCATCTTAGAATCACAGAGATTTTTGAAATCGTCAAGGATGCGCCAAGAGCGCGGCCGACAAAGAGAAACACTTGCCCTCAGTGATTCGAACCCTGGGAAATCCGTTGCTAACCCCTTCCGTCATCGGTCCTCCTTTAAGCGTGGCCACGGACTTTCATCCCTGCTAAACGACAACAAAATCTTCCTCATTGATAACACTTATAAGACGGTGTTGTTTAGTGCTTTCTTAACAAAACACCTTAATACTGAGTCCGGACTAGTCCCTCTCTTTCATTCACTTATACATAGGATACTGAGTACAATCGATGTGTCCTCAGATCCCATTAAGAAACACACAAGTCGTTTGA